AAACAACTTGAATTAAAATTCACGTGGACAAACCCACATTATTTTAAGTATTTGTTTTAGTTGTGGCCCACCATTTTTGCAGCTGTCAATGGTGCAAGGCTGGTGCAAAAGCTGTGGAGGCTTCAGTAAGGCGTAATGAACAGGTTAGGGTCCAGACTAATCACTCGTGCAGCAACTGCCCAATGGCATTGCCAAATGTTTAACTCTGTAATCACAATGGGGGCAGGGGGGAGATTTTCCTTTAAAAAACAGGCTCCAAGGAAGCTTGCAACTTTGCTCTGTGAATGAATGACCTGGCACATGCTTTCTCTCTGTTCTTCTTGTGTACTTCTTGTTTTCCTTTCTGCTTCTCTCAGGATCAGCCAGCTTTACTGGCCAAATGGTCAGCTATGCTTCGGAGGAAGCGCCCATACCACCCATCTATCCAGGTACAAAGCCTTCCTGCCACCTGGTGCCTGACAGTCCATATGCCTGCTTCCTCCTCACCGACCCTCTTCTCCGGACAACTTCACCCCCTAACTGATCCTCCCACGACTATTTCATCCTCTCCACAAGAGACTTCCCTTGGTTTTGTTTTTTTTTCTCAAAGCATAACTATTTTCTTTCTAACCTAAAGCTTCTGCCTCCCTGGAACATCCTGGCCAGGACTGCAAGAATGAGGTTGCATTTAGTTTGCCCAGCAAACTTCAGACAGGTTTTTAATGCAGCACAATTGGCTATAATTTACACACCCCATAATTTGAGGCTCTTGATCAAGCCTGTGACTTGCTGGGGTCCATGGTCTGCATATAGCACATAAGACCATCGTGTGACAGAGCTTGGTGTGGGACTGGGATTTGTTTAGGCCAACAGGACACCAGCTGCCCAGCTTTACAGTGCCATCCCCAGCCTTTTGTATTCTGTTGTTTCCTGGTAAGCCCCAGGTGGAGGACCCTGTGACTTGCATTTGCAGGCACTCACATAACACCTTCAGCTCTTCACTTTACAATCTGTTGGGTGCCAGTGTGTACAACACAGCATCCTGGTAGGGGAAGGAATGGGGGTTTATCTGTAGATGTGGCTGAGGCAGTGAGATAAGCAGTAACTGCATGACAGCCATTGTATTTTTTCCTTATGGAGCCTTGCACTCTGTTTCTAAGCTGCTCACAGGTACAGGTCAGCCTGACAGGTACAGGTCAGCCTAATGTGAAATGTCATCTTTCCAGTATCCTCTTGCCTTTATGGTTTTTACTTGACAAAAGAGCAGCTTTCTGGTGTTTCCTTTGCCATTTCTGTGCTTCTTGCTGGCCATCTTTTGTACTTCAAATCTCTTGCCAGGGAGCAGAGAAGACCAGCTGCTCCCTATGGGGGAGGGAGGTGGGAGGTGAGCATAACAAGGCAGCTTCTGCCTTGTGGTGCTCGAGTGAGGCAGACCTAGGGAGGGCAGCTGGGTCAACCAAGAGTCTGGGTCATCAGGTAAGTCTGCTGATAAGGCAGGTCATCAGGTAAGTCTGCTGAAGTCAAGCCAGGAGCACTCACCAGGGTCAGGATCAGCTCCAATGATATTAACCAGGGTCAGATGCGGTCTACTGATTGCCAGGCAAGCCCAGAGTGGCCAGGTAAGTCTGAGGCCAGGCTGGGAAGGCAGTCTGCAGATAAGACAACAAGGTCTATGGCCAGCACAGGCATAGCTGTCACACAGTTGGAGACCAGCATTCCTATGATATAGCCCAGGGTTCAGCTGAAATGGGGGTCCCAGACCCATGGGCAGATGCTGTGGGTAGAAGTCCTGGAGAGGCTGCTTAGGGCCATTAAAGCCTGTTAGTGCCCTCAGGGCCTTGGCATCTCTGTGGTAATATTTTAAATCAGCTGACCTACCAGGAAGGCTACCAGAGTGTTTTGGGTTATTACAGGAGAGTGACAAGCGTGTTTCGTTCACCTTGGGTGTACCCACCTCACAGCAACAGCTGTCACTTCACATTCTGCTTGTGCAGCAGTTTTACCTTATTTATGCCAATGTAAGTTAGGCTTGGTAGCAAGTGGACTTGAAAGGCTCCTGAGCCAACACAGTAAAATCTGAAGGAGTTTGACTACCCTTTCTGGAGCCACAACTGCCAGATGCTTCCAAACTAGCATTTTGAGATGTCTGGCTATGCCCTGGGCCAGTATGAAGTTTCAGGGTATTTGTGTCATCTTATTCTTTCTTTGCAAATATTGGCTCAGCACTGGTTTTATTGGAAAATGGTCATTCCCAAAATGAGGCAAATTAGATGTCTTGAAAACAAGCCTATTGAGGGTTCCTTTCCCATTGGTTGCTGCCTCCATCTTTACACTGTTTTTATCCTATGCTCAGCAGGAGATGCAGTTCCATACAGTAGAACTGGCCAAGACCTGAGCTTATTTCTGCAAATGCCACTGCATCTGTAGGCTCAGGCATATCACTTGCCTTATGTCTCTGTCTTTTTAAAGGACAATCATACAGAGTGAAACACTTGTAAAATTAATGGCCCATAGTCTTATTTTACTAATGTCTGTAGTGGACTTTGACAGAGATCAGAAAGGTGCACTTTTTGCCATAGTTATTATTAATATTGAACTCTCAAGTAACAATTCTGAGGAAATAAATTGCACTATTTTGTTTCCTTTTGCTGTATCTCAAAACATACTCTGATGCTTTCCTGCTCCTTGGAAGCTGCCAGTTATTATATCTCATGCAATTGCAGACTAGAAATACCACAAAAAGGGGGAAACCATGTGGTGGCAAATCATTCAGTGAGCTCTTGCGTTCTAAGGGCCATGGCTGTCACATCAGACTCCTTCTAAGACAATTTCCTTTTAATCTGTGTACCCACAAAGTAACTCTCAGAGACAGGTATGGAACAGGTCCTGGCTATGTTCAATTGATCCCACCATACCTTGGCTTTTCCTTTTCTCCAAAGCCCCTAGTTTTACCTATTACTTCCTTAACCCCCTTTTCCTTATTTCAGGCTCATGGATCTGCCCTTATCTCCTCTCTCAATCTCTCTGAACTCTCCCAGGTCTTAGCACCCAGCCAGTTCCTCATCACAGTCCCTCTGCGTGGCCTGACTGGGTACAGGGAATGCCAGGTACGGCACTGGCGTTATTACACCGTAAATGGAGCCAAGCTCCTCTCCTCCGTGCGGGACCCTGAGGAATTGCATCAATGGCTAGAGGTGGAGCAGTTCTCAAAAAGCCTTCAGCAGTGGCATGAAGAGGATGTGAACATCGAAGGTGATCTGGTTCCAGCCAAAGTCCTTATCGTCTTCCGGGAGCTGGTGGAGAAGTCGATTATCTCCTGTAACCTCTCCAGTGAGTCTAGTGGGGACAGGTATAAGGGAAACCATCATACACACGAAGTGTTTGTTTGGCTCACATGATCAGAAGCCAAGAAATAGCAAATCCCTCCAAAATCAGGAAGCCTTTAGGTGATGCATGTAGACCTGCATTAAAGATAGAATTAAGTAATTCTCGGGCTCTTCATACCCAAGGTGTTACTGCTTTCTTAGAAATTTGAGTAGGGTCTCCAGAAACATCACTCTCACAGTTCAACCAAGAGGCAGCCCAAATTTTTAGAACATTTAGGAATTTCTTTGGGAAAAAAAGTCTTTTTCTACTACAGCAGCTGCAATATATTTATACTATCAAGGAAGGTAGTATAGGAAAATTTGATACAGAGAGGGTGCATAAGTCTGAGGAGAACGTGTTTGAAGATACTTACGAGCAGATAGTTTTCTGGGAAAACCTTAGCTGCCCATAGCTTTCCAGCATGGACTGGTGGGAACTAAGTAGGACTTCTACTTTAGGCAAAGTGTGTTAGACAAATGCTCCTTTCCCAGTGTCCAGGCTACTCCAGTCCTGTTCTGGAAGTGGACTCAGGAAGTTTACTTTCAGTAGTGGAGCTGCAACCTCTGTGAGCAATCCAAAGTGCCTGTTTATTTCCTGTGACTGTTTATACTGGAAATGCTGTTCAGTGACATAACGTGGTCAGTGGTGCACAGAACATGCCTTGACAACTGCAACATCTGTATCAAGATGCTGCTGAACAGTGATCCTCGGATTTAATTCTTAGCATCCTAGAGGCATGTTATAGAATTCAGCTACTGACAGTTTGGCTTGGTCCAAGCTACATAGTCTATGTCCATCTTTTCACATTAAGATACTGGGGCATGATTAAATCCAGACTGTGGTGCCTCTTTTCATGGCATGTTTCCAGGATGACTCCTTACTCATCAACAGCCTAATAGGGATCTTCTGTATTTCAGAGCAATAGGAGCCATATCCACTATCTGATTGCACTCTGAATTGTGAGAGAACATGCTAAAGACAAGCTCAACTAGATAATGGCATTTTTTCAAGAAATATTTGTTATTATAGAAATGGAAAGGTGAATGGGAATGAAATTTCACCATCAAGGCTCATGGAAAAGACCAACGGGAATGGGCTTGTCTCTGAAGCTTTACTTATGTGAAAGTTACTGTATTGAAGTGAAAACCTGCCACTGTGTCTAGCAGCAGTACATCAACTTGTTGTGACAGGAGAATTACTTCAGGGAACCCAAAGCGTAATGTTTGGGCTGATGATTGTGGTGCTTTTTTTGTAAGACACACTGGGAGCAATGAGCTAAGATGAACTCAGGAGAAGCAATTACCATTTTTGTTTGTTTCTATGAAGAATGAATTTCCTTCATCACATAGTACGGCTAAAGTTACAGAAAAATTTCCCTGGTTTCATTGCTTTCCTGGTTTTTAATTCTTTGAGCATCAGCAAAGCCAGTTTTTGAGGTGTCTCACTTTTCATTGGTAGAAAAATAGGTATCACAATTGGAATGCTTTTGGAAATGCCGTGAACATATTTACATGCTGACACAGCGGTTGCTTTAACACTTTTCAGCTGCCGGGGATCCTTGCTGAGAGCTTAGGAGCAGTATAGTTCCTGGTTTTGTGCCAGGCTTGCCTCAGCAGGAAAGTAACATGCAAATTTTACTGAGGGTTATGAAGTTCTGGTTGGGATGGACTCTACTACTTGCAAGGTAATTCACCCAGTGCTTTCTGGAGGAGATGCTAAACTGGGGTTAGGCAGATATTTCCTCTGTAAGGGCAGAAAAGGTTGCCCTCCCAGATGTTCATCACTGTCCCTTCAAGTCTGGTACGTGGGCTCCTTGTGGAATAGCTCCTTAATCCATGCCAATCAAAATGAGGCACTAACACACTGCTATTTAAACTGCTTTTGTTAACCTGCTCAGTCTTCTACTGCAGTGGTTTAGGAGCAGAGCTGAAGGGACAGTGATCCTACCAGAGTGACTGGGAAAGCTGGGGACAGCAACTTCTTCTATGAACACAGCTGAACCAACAGGAAACAATCTCAAAGTCCATTAGTTGCAGCTTTCTTTCCTTTCTGCACTCTTAGAGCATGTTGTTCTTGGAGATGAGCCACTCTTCTTTCACACTGAAGAAACTTCCTTCCTCCAAATCACCCCAGAAGTAGCTCTTTTTGACACTCTGCATCCCCACGATCTATCAGTTAGCCTTTTTTATATGACTACTCTGCACAACAGCCCATAAATTCTGTGCAAGTGCATCTCCAGAAACAAAACTTACAGATACTCCACAAAACATTCTGAATGACTGGCAGTGGTAAGTGTGATATGGCAAGGGTTTAATCTCAGGTTCTCTTAAGGAATAAGAACATCTTTAGATATGAAGCGTTCATCTGGTCCTCTCTAAACTGCAGTGATCTTGTACTGTACCATTAGAAATGTTAGGTTCCACCAGTCATCTAGCTGTATTTTTAAGAAGCTAATCCTAGGATTTAAGAGGACCCACAAAGGAAAACAAAAGCATGGTAATTGAATGTAAAATTGAGAACTTAGTTGGTCTTTCATCTTCTTCCTATTCTTGTTCACCAGGATAGATTTAGATAGATCTAAGTTCTTCTTAGATTCTGCTTATGTCATTGAAGAGGAAGTGTTAAGACAGACCAATAGAACTGCAAGATCTACAAGGTTGGCTTGTAGAAAAGGACCTTTTCATTTATATTATCTTCTCTTGTTGTTCCTTCACAGGTAAAGTGACGGTGCTGGAGAGCTTCAGCTCAGTGGTCCGGGTGGCTGTGGAGACATCAGAATCCCAGGTTGAGGTGGAGCTTGTCCCTGCTGTGGAGATTCCAACTTGCTGGCCTGAGAAGGCCCGGTGGCCTCGTTGCCTCAAGCGTTGGCCTTCTCAGGAAAAAGTGCGGTGCATCAAGGTAAACAGTGTATAAAGAACTATTAACTCTGTGCTGGAATTAACCTCTCAGGTGACAGTCACTTCCCAAAGGAAGAACTGCATGGTGATGGCAGGCAACAGCAGGGCTGGAAGATGTATTCTCTAGTGAAGTGTTTCAGAATATTCTGTCAGATTTTATTTGGATTTTTATCCCCCTTACAGTGGTGAATTCTATAGAAGAAAACCTGAGTTAACTATTTATTGCATGAGTCTCTTGCACACAGCTCTGCCATTGCTGACATGCATCATTTTTGCTGTTCTGCTCTGCCTCATATAAGCCTTCAGCAACTGCAACTCCAGCCTAATCCCACCTTTCCCTACAACAGTCATCACTGGATTCTGACACTCCGGCTCAGCCCCAGTTGCCATGTTTCTGCAGGTCCCATTCCGCTTTCCAGGACTGCTCCACACTCATGCACAACCTGCTGTTCCACAGCAAAGTGCCTGCAGAGCTGCACCTCTGCTTTAGTGGGACTGCTGGTACTGTACCTGATGGCTCTAGAGCAGGATGTCTTGGGAGTAACTGATGCCAGCACATGAGGAAACAATACAAAATGCATGTTTATTCGACTCAGAATTAGGGTATGAGCACGCCTCATTTGCTGTCTCTGCTAACCCTGTTTAGAATACGCTTTGAGAGATGTCACACATCCTTTTTGTAACATCTCTGCATTGCTCAGAGAAGTTTGCCTCTGATCTGCTGTCACACTTCCCCTTTTGTTCACAGTCACTGGGTTTCGACCTTTTGGCCCGCTCCAATTATCACTGGCAGCTGTGCTTCTCCCGTGCTGAGCACATACTCATGGAAGGACTTGATGAAGATGGTGGTTGTCGCATGAAGTGCTTCAGGGTCATGAGGCAGATGAAGGAGGATGTCTGGTGTGCTGGAAATAAGCCTGTCATCACAGCTTATCACCTTCAGGTAGGCATCACTGTGATATCAACATAGAGTTGCAGTAGCAGTTGCAGTGCCTTCCATCCAGTAATGTCAAAATATTGTGGTGTAAATCACTGTAGCACCTGTGTAACTTCTAAGGTAGCTGTCAAAACTGCAGTACCTTTTCATTGCTTTACAGTGGCAAGAAGTTCAGGAAATATATGTTTTCCAAACTTCAACAGGAAACTAAAGCCTGTAGGAACATTATGATTGCAGCAATATAAATAATGTTAGAGTTGAGGCCCCTGCTCTGTTTTGACTTCACATAGGCATTGTACTGTTGTCTGTAATTGCATACTTACCTCCTGCTTCTTGACTATCTCAGTGTGATAGTTTTATAGCCATCTATATCCATCTATCTGTGGATGTGCACCAACAAAACTGTCTTAGGTGAGCATTATTAATGAATTAGGTGCAAACTGCAGTTCTGGTGGTGTTTCACCTGGGGTAGGGAGGGAAGAAAGAAAGGGGTGGTAGCATCCTCCCTGCACCTACTTCAGGGTTCAAGATGGCTTCAAACAAGATTTGTGAAGAAGAGATGGAAGACTCTGCTACGACTGTGTCCCCACATCTGACAGCTACAGATACCAATGGGCCAAGGGCAGCACCAGACTGTAGAGCAATCCTGTTTTCTGGGTCTCCACCCTCCTGGAGTTGCCAGGGAGCAGCTGTACTTTTCACACCTTGAAGCCTCAAGCTATCAGCTTTCCACAGTACTTACTGATATTTTGGTGTCCAAAACCAGATGCAATGCCAAGATTTCTCCTAAATAAAAAGCTTGTGACCATCAAATGCTGTTAATACACAGGGCACTACTCCAAGTCAAGATGGAGTCAAAAAAAGAGATGATAAGGCTGATTATAGCTTAGCAGAATGTAAAACTTCTCAGTGCCTGTAAGAACAACCTCCTGGAAAAACTGTCATAGATAGGAGAAAGTGGAAAACCATTTAACCATCAGCAACATTTTTTTTCTCTGGCTGATGAAGCAGATGTGCAGGAAGTGCTGTTGCACAGATTCATGATCAAAATAAAAAGCTATTTAGAAGCTCTTCAGCTCTTTACTGTTACTGTACTTGAGGCTTTTACTGCAAGAGAGGATTGGTTTACAATTTTTCAAAATTACTTACATTAAACAGAAAATAAGAAAAGAAAAAAGAAAGTAAAATGAGAGAAACAGTCACTGGATAAACCATCATTGAGCAGAGGCTTAGTGTTAGGTTTCTTCCCATTCTCAGGTTTCCCCCAACAGAAGTATCCAACAACTAGGATTAAACAAGACTCTATATGAGAAAGCCCCTCTATGACAGAGGAAATCCTTCCCCCAGAAACTTAGAAAGGCTTAGAGGACCCAGTAAGAGCACTCATTATGCTTACCTCCATAGGAATGAAGTTCGAGATGTGGTAGTTCAAAAAGACCTAGGTACATTTTGAAAACCAACTCTATGCTGCTGGTAGACAGCTGGCAGTGAGGGACAGTTCCATAAATTCTGGGGATAAATCACCTGTTTGGCACCTGACTGGAAAAGCAGCACTATTTCCCTTGCTTCCAGAAACTTCATTGCAACTGCTGCCCATGGGTCTTGCTGAAGTAGATTTAGTGTGACAGAAGATAACTGCTCTGCAAGTCTTCGATGAGTAGCTCTCACGGAGTTATAGTTTGAATTCCTCACTGTATCTTTCTTCCCTGGTTATATTAAAAAAAGGTTTTGTGGTTATTGCAGATGTGAACAAAGAAATTGTTCACATTTGAAAAGCTGTCTGGGAAGAAATTTGTCAGCAATACAACTATAGATGAAATTCTACCTCTGTAGAAACAGAAGAGTTGAATACTGTAGTTCAGCCACTTCTCACAGTATGTGTAGTTCTCTTTTTGGGTTGCTGAATCTGCAAAATAAAATTGGGATTCAGAGGACAGATAAGGGACTTAGCAGAAGTATTGAATCCAGGATAGGTGACTTAGTACTTTAAAAAGTGATTTCAGGTTGACTGAGGCAGTCAGTATGGCTTTTTCAGTACAGTAGCGTAAGTACCTTAAGAAAGAAAATTCTTCTCAGTCATGGGAAAGTCTAAAAAAATGCAACAAAGGCAGTGTAAAAATAATACTGTAAGAACAATAATCACAGACATTTTGTTATTTTAACTACATATTTCTCAAATGTAAAATTGCGTAAAATAAACTTGGGGGAATAGAACATAAGACATGCTGTAAGTATCACATGTCAGAAAAAAAGAGGCAGCACTTGCAAGCCTTGCACCTGCAGGAGCTGCTTGGAATGCCAGTCTGTTTAGGATGCAGATCTGTGTGCATCTTCAGCACAAATACAGCTGAAGCTAACAAATAATTATGTTAATCTCATTAAGCTTTCCTCCCTCCTTGCACCTACTGGCTTCTACACTTGCATAATGGGCCATTTTCTACAGCCTAAAATGCCTGGCATTTCTACAGAGGCTCCTGCTGGAGGATGGTAAATAGGCTAAGATTATTTTAGCAAGATCATTTTCCATGGGCTCCTGGCTCAGTCAGTAGGGCTCCTCTGGGGAGAGATCCTAACCAGGCATGTCAGAGTTGCTCTGCCTGGTCCCTAGAAGAGGCTTTAACTGTGATCCCCTCCGTTGCAGAAATGTTAACACAGAGAGATAGCAGCACGAGTCTCTCTGATTTCCAAGGCTGTCAGCCATTTACCAGCACTAAAACTGCCTTAGTAAGCTGTGTGAGCCCTCGACAGAACCTCTAACACATCTTCTCTCCCATCTGCTTCTTGCAGACAGTGCTATTCTGGACGTGTGAAAAATACCCACGCACCAAGGATTGGCGCTGCTTCCCTGAAGCCTTTCTGAGGCTGGTACAGAAGTTGCACAAGTGTGTAAGCCAGCACTTCCTCAAGCATTACTTTCTCAAGAACACCAATCTGCTCAAATATGCCAACACCAGTGACCTGGACCTGGTGGCCAGCAAGCTTGCAGTCTTCTTGGAGAACCCAGTCTTCTGCCTGGACTGAAGCAGGCAAAGGTCTCCTCACCCCAACCCTGAGCCAATCCCCCACCTCCTCTCCCCACCTGCAGTTGTTCTTCATGTCCTTCCAGTAGATGTTGCAGCTGGCTTTGTAAGACAGTTGGCACATGCAGCATGAAAGAGAAGTGTCAAGCTGGCAGCAGTGGGCGGTGAAAACTGATGGAAGGTATCGCTTGATACCCAGCTGATCTAATTTGCTTTCAACTGTGACAGCCTGCCTGGAAGCTACAGCCAGTGAAACCCAACTTCGTGTCAGTCAGAACAGGCAACTGCCTTGTTCTCTGACTCTAGTCTAGTGGCACTTAAGCAGAAAAGCAGTGCAAAGGAGTCTCGCTCTGCTGCCTATCGCCTCTGTAATTTAGCACGTGTATTGTTGCTCCAATTGCCTTCCTCACAAGGACAGCGGGTTTAATTGCCTGCTTGCCTCACAGGCCAGCGCTGCAGAAGAACACAGGAACATTTCTGAGGTGTCCAAAGCTGGAGGCTTTCTTGGAGGCACTTTGAAGTCTCCATCTCCAATTCAATGGGACCCTGCTCCAGTAAGAAGACAACCATGCTGCTAGTGTTGAATAGCTCAACAAAAGCAAGAGGAGGAACAGTGGGGTTTTGCCTTCTCTTCATTTTTCTCTCCTGCACTTATATTTTTCTTCCAGTTGCTTCAAATATGTTTTCTTCTTGTTTGCCTTTGCCAGTTGTGTTAGTGCCATACAACCACGAGGCTTTGCCAGAGCAGATTTCACTCCCATTCCTGACTCTATCCAGCAGGCTGGAGGAGGAGCAGGTCTTTCCCTAGTTTTTAGCACCCATGTATTTTTTCGGTGCCGTACAGAAGGAGAATATTTTTCAAAGGCTGTTAGCTCCAACTCCCCCCCCCCAGTGCTTTTAATATTATGGATGTTTAGAAAGACAATCAATTTAAATCTTTCAAAAGAACAGAGTTGTAGAATGAGTGTAAAGAATGCTGGTTTTAATGTTATTAAATCAGTGAAACTAAACCAAAGTTGGCTTTTTTTCTTTTTTTTTTTCCTTGTTACACCTGTGCAGGAAAGTATGTCAGTCTCTCCTTTGCCAAGGCGGGTGGCGGAGAGGATTTGCTGCTCGAGCAGCATCCGTGGCGCAGCGTCTCCCCCTTGTGCCAGATTGTGGTGTGACCACGCGTCTTCAGCGCCGCCTCTGCACTCTGGCCTGGTCCCTGCTGCCGCCACTTCAGAGGGACAGGAACGTCCTGGAATGCGTCCACAGCGTAACAAACCTGGTGGAAGGGCTGGCAGGCATGTCCTGTGAGGAGCGGGCTGAGACTTTGGGCTTGTCAAGTTTAGAGAGATGGAGAGATGGCTCTCTCCAGCTCCCTGGGGAGGGGAAGGGGAGAGGGAGGTGCTGATCCCTTCTCCCTGGAATCCAGCGGTAGGACACGTGGAAATGGCTCAAAGCTTCCTAGAGGGGTGGTCGATGCCCCAAGCGTGTTTGAGAGGCATTTGGACAACATGGTTTAACTTTTAGTCAGCCTGGAAGGGTAGTTGGACTGGGTGATTGTTATAGGTCCCTTCCAACTGATATACTCAGTTCTGTTCTAATCTATTCTATTCTAGCCTTTCCTTCACCTAAGTATAGGAGGAGGCTTTCTTCTACAGTTCTTTAGCAGAGTAGATATGGGCCAGGCAGGATTCCAGCTATGTGGTCATTCTTGTACTGGTCTCTTGCATCAGATCCCACCATGTGCAGACCTGACCCTGCCATGTAAACCAGCACCCTCCTTGCTCAGAACCTGGGAATACTCTCCAAGTCACCTTTCCACATGGGTAACCGCATTGTGTGGAACTGTTTTGAACAGTTAACTTCTCTTGCGAAACCTCTGTTCTCCAGGCTCCTTTCTAAATGGGACACAAGTGTCAGTTTCGTGATGACACCTCCTGTTAAACTGTGGCTTTCCTGTTTCCTGAGCTGTTTCAGTAAAGACCAAGGAGATGCCAATCTGCCGAGCAGAGTCAGGCAGCTGTGGCAATGAAGTAATGTCTCCTGTTTCATCTCGGGTTTGTATTGTGGTTGAAGGGCTGGCTTCTGAAGTCAGAGGAGGACAAAAGCGGTTTGAAAGGGCAGTGAAAAATGTTTGGAGTTATTAATCCCAAGTTTGATATTTTACTGCTCTGATGTAAGAACCTTTTGGGATTTAGTTCTGGCTCTTAAATTTATCTCCCTTTGTAGCTGGGTGAAAAAAAAGTTTCAGTATTGACATCTTAACTTGGATGCAGCTGTGTATCAGAGTCCTCAGTTGCTGTGGTTCACAGCCTGCTATGAAGCAAAATCATGGGCAGGCACCGTGTGCTGCAGAGCCATGACGTGGGACGTTCCTCTGTTCTGCCAGAGTGGCAGCCTCTTACAGCCAGGAGTGAATCAGCAAAGCCAGCAAGTAAGCACAGAATGATGGACCCCTGCTCTGAGCCAAGCCTGATCATTTTTTTGCCCCGTTTTCTTGTTGGTACACAGGCAAGTGCATCATCTAGCATATGCTGCTGCAGAAAATATCTTCATCACCATATAAAACTAAAGATCTGCCCTGGAAAGTACGTTGCTACTGACCACAAAGACACGGGAACAATCCCTCAGCTTTTTCTCCAGAACAGCAAGACACAACACAGCTGGCCACTACCAAAGGGTGAGGGAAAAGAGTTCTTTGAAGTTCTTTGCAAAAGGAACTAGTGTATCCATTGAAGTAGAAGAATACAAGAAACAATTCCATCTCAGACATAGCTTTGAGGTATACTACATGCTATCTTACATCATCTAGTGCAGGTCTGGTTGGGTCTGTGTGGGGATTTTGTGAGGCAGTTTTCTGTGGTTGTGGGAGAGTTGTGTAGGAGGTCTCTGATAAAAACCAAACAAACAAAAAACAAGCAAAAAAACCAAACAACCCCCCAAAAAAACAACAACCCCCCCCAAAAAAACCAACCTCAAAAAAACTTGCCAAATATACTTGTCACATTTCTTATTACAGTAAACTCTCTGCAAATAGCTTTCCACTTATACACCCAGTCTGATTGCAAAATCATGCCCTCATCCCAAGGTTTTCTTCCAAAAAAAGGATATCACATTGTGTTTTGGCTACAGAATAAGTTTTATTTTTCTTTTTTCAAAAAGTGATCATGTTGACAAATACAGACTTTTTTGAAGTAGGTTTAATCAAAAGTTCTATCTTTGTTCAGAGCATCTGGAAGGACTGTGACGACCATTTGTTCGCCCTCTCCTTTTCATTACTTTCATGAGTGTTTGCTGACTCCCAAAGGCACTGTCAGGGACAGAAGGAGAAATCTTGACCTTCATAATTTCTTTATGTTTGACAGTGACTTTTTGCTTACTTCTCAGTTTTGCTTTTTCTTCTTAACTTCTTCTTAACTCGTCTTAACTGTCTTTAAAACAAGAAGGGGCAAACAGTGGACAAAAGGGAACTTCTTGCTTCCATGTGAAGCACAGCACTCGAGAACAACAGGCATTCCCAAAGCACTCACTTAAGCAAAAGAGGGAGGAATTAAAATGCATATTTGTGATGAGACTGGGGTGCAATGAGTGTTTCCAGAAACCCTCTGTTCACGAGACATGAAACTGCACCTCTGAGAGAATTTCAGCTGACTCATGGCTGAGCTCGTGGCCACCATTGCCTTTGCACAAGATGATGGTACTCAGCCTGAGTGCTAACTGAGGATGTTTTTCAAGGTATGTGAAAGGTAGCTTGTTCAAATAGCTTGTTGCTAGCTGTTGACTGGGCAGGAGAGGTATGTGGGATCCTCACTATTATGCCATGTGCGGGAGCCTTAGTTGAGATGAGAGATGCTGAGAAGGCTCATGGTGGGTGCTAAGGGCATCCTTACAGCTGCAAGGCGTTCACGGCCCTTACCACAGACAGCATCCCTTCATCTGTCTGAAACTTCAATTTTAATGTGTTGCTCTGCCATATAAAACCCTACAACATCACATTCGTGATGTTTTAGTCCTTTTACATTGCCTGCCTTCAAATCACTAGAGGGCAATGTCTCTCTGAAGCACAAGCACACACACCTCACTTGCTCTTAAAATCAGCATCTTGTAGTTTATCATCTTGTTAGTTTATCATTGAGCTGAGACAAATGAGCATGATTAATTTAATGCTAAAAAGGAGAGAAGAAAATAGACCATGAAAGAGCTTTCTAATAAATAGCAAGACTTGGGTAAAAAGCCTCTAAACTCTGGGAACCGCTCCAAGAGCCAGAATATGGATTTATTTCTTTCTGCAGCAGAAGATGAGCTTCCAGTAACTCCCAGCTGCCTTGGGTTGGGGAGAGCACCAACAAGCAAAGTGCAGGCAGGGTTCTGGGAAGGAGGAAACTTGCAGGAATAGCCACTCCCCGACTCCATCAGGATCCTGCCCTCTCTTCATGGGGAGCTGGGCCATGACTCCCATATATGCCTACCCCTCAGGCTCCTCTGTCTCACTCTTTTTCTCTTTTTCTCTTTCCCTCTCCCCTCCCCCTCCCCCTCAAAAAAAAAAAAAAGAAAAAAAAGGAAAAAAAGAGATATTTTCTCTGAAGAAGTTTTCTGATGCTCTGGTGGGAATGGTCATTTCTGAGTGCAAATCATCTCTCTTTTAGTTCATGGGACCCGAGTGTACACAGAGGCCATTACAGACCATCTACTCACCTTCATTTTTAGTTTGAAATGGTGCCAAGCCATGAAGTTAGAGTACCTTGCATACTATGTTCCCAGTGGGAGCAGCCTGGCCTCTGTGAGCAAAACAGTGGCATGGACAGTAATAGATAGCAGGCTAATTCTCCCTTCACACTAAGTATTTTTCTCCTTACCAATGCTAGAATTTCTGTTTTCAGGAGAAAGCTACTTTTTATTCTTATGCCTCACTCCCAAGGACTCTCATCTGAAGTCCTTGCAATGTCACATGAGACAGTGACACAGCACCCAGTGCTCAAATCATGGTAAGAGATCCCAGCCGCCCTATCAGGCCAACCTGTGCCATGGCCATAAGGAGTTGTGTGGTGTCCTTGACCTCTTTGGGGTCTGACTTCTCTGGCTGGAGTAATATGCATAGTTGCAAAGGAAGTAAAACAGCTCCAGGTAGCAAATGTGTTTTAGCCTGTTCTGACCCAAGCCATTGCAGCACAAAGAAATGGACAATGCTTTCATCATGTTACAGGTATTTATTTGTCAGTTCTGCTCCAAGCAACATCTTCGGTCTGAAAGAAAGGATAGGATCAGAGCCTGGCTTTGAAAGCATCTCCTGGGTGGGTGATGAGGAATGCAGAGATACCACCAGAGACCAGGCCTGTGGAGAGTGCAGAATGTATTTTTCACAGGAAAGATTCTCTAATTTACCCTTAGCATCCTCATAAATAGAAATTACGAGGAAATGCATCAAGGAAAGAAATAATCAGATTGAAAGGCTTTATAATAATTAGAAAAAAGAATGGCATCTTCTCAGGCTCTCCTGGGTGATGGTGATTACCAGCTGCACAACTGTGCAACTTAAAGATTTCTGGAGTAAAAAGCTAAATACATACTTGTTTCTGTTCTCAGAGAAACCACTCTTGGAAACAGGCAGCAACACAGGCCAACAGCTCAGAGAAGCCTGAATTGAGCCTCCTTCAGCCTGGTAGGGCACCAGTTTACATGCAGGGTGGTCCAGAACCTGATCCCAAGCCATGGCTTAGTGGCATCTGGCCCAATGCATTTTTCTTGTAGCCTTGTTGGAGGTGGGTACTATTTGTTATCTAACTACTCAAACAGCCAAACAAACCTCTTCTGCCACAACTGCAGGCAGCCTTACACCCATCTGCTTCTGCTGCAAAGGGCAGGTCATAGCCCCTTCTGGTGCCAGTGTTGTCACCAGCACGGCTGGGCGGCCTGAGGGTCAAGGCAGCATGCACTGTAACTCAAGAAGTCTAGGTAATGCCTTCCAGGGAAGAAGTTTGGTTAATTCAGGAGAGCTTAAGAAAGTCCAGTTCCAAGCTAGTAATGAAC